TTTGCTTAACTCACTGTAACAGCTAGCCTGAATAGAGGCCTTATGAGACGAGGAAACCATATTGTGACAAAAACTGATTTCCTAAGTGCCATTTAATCCCTGTTTAAAAAGAAATAAATAAAATGCTTAATTGATGCTTCCTTTCGGGTCAGCTGGGAGCCTTGGGAAATGCAGAATAACATATTTGTTCCTCAGTTGGGCATGGAGGCTCAGAACAGTTACTAAGTGATGATTCCTTAGTAGGGGTCTGTGGAAGTAAATGTTAGCATGTAGATTCCATAAAAATACATTTTACAAGTAATTCTGCACACTACAAAACTTTACATGAGGGAAAACATCTTTTCAGCCAGGTATATGTCCCAGTTATCTTCCACAGGTACCAGTAATGTGTTTAGGAAAAGCAGCTTCAGCAGTCTTGTCTCTTAGGATTATAGTTGTGAGGTTTAGCAAAGAGGAGTGGTACAGGAAACTGATTTAATGGTACATGTAGTAGTTTAAATCTAAGGAACTGTGGTCATAATGAGCCGTGGCAGTTTTGTTACTAACCTTCTTGCGGAAGCCTTAAAAATTTTCCTCTCAAACAATGGCATTAGCTCCTATTCTAAAAAGCACTGGTCACTTGCCTCAGCAATTAGTGAAAAGAAAAAAAGACCTTTCTTTTTTTTTTAAGGAAATAGATGTTTTTGTGTAGCCAACTACCAAAAGAAAAAGAAATGGTTTGTTGTATAAAGAAATGCAGTTTTGCAATATTTGTACTCAAATGATTGTCAAAATAAAGGTACCAAGTTTTAAGAACTAAGCATAAGTATTGCAGTCACTTGGTACTTTGGTTGCTTTAAACAAGGCTTTAATAAAATCTGTCGTAACTGCTCCAATTAAAGGACAATAGTACCAACTTTGAGATTTCCTATTGCTCGATCTGAACACTTTGAGAATGGCTGGATTGGTACTGTGGAACACAGGCACATGTAATAGTTCAGAAATGATTGAACTGGGCAGCCAAAGTAGATGTTTTTGAGGAAGACACACATTTTTGTCACATGGACGTGTTTGTTAATGAGTTTTTAATCAAAACTGTTCATCTTTGCTTTGCTTTTGTTTCTGGATGATTAATTCAGTAGCACTGGCATAATTTTTTGTTACTTTCACCTACTACAGATGAAGACAAAGGAATTCTAGATGTCCAATCAAACCTAATTGTAAAACATTTTCTAAATTCTGGAAAGTATATTTTTAGTTGGGGCCAAGATTTTTGTTCATATTTTTAAATAATGTTCATTTCACATTCTTAGAATCTTGGGAAGACGATTTTGTTTTAAAAATGACAGCACTCATTTAAGCTGTGTTTCATCTGAAGACAAAAGGAGAAGCAGACTTTTCAAAATGTATAAAGTTTATTCAAGAATTCAGTTTCAGTTAATTCTTGCAATTTCCTTTTGCATAAAGCTATATAAACCTAGACAAACATCAGTACTAAAGGACTGTGAAGGTTGTGTTTGGGCAATCACCAATAAAGTTTTACTACCATTTTGATATTTTTACTTTTCCACTGTGTAACAAGCCCAATCAGATACAGGAACTGATGTAAATCATTCCTTTTGAGGGAAAAAATATGCAAGCAATACTGTTCACTATGCTGGGTAGTGGTTTTTTTGTCTTCGCCATTTGGATAACACTTTTGAAAACAGACTAGAAAAGTGCATACTCTCCTATGCCATAATTTTCTCTTAATCTGTAACTATTTACTCAAATTTGATTCAAGTAGAAAAAATAATTTTGAAGTATTAAAAAGATATGGAGTCATCCATATAGAGATATCAGAAATTGCAACTGTGATGTATGGACTATATTAATGACAATTCAGCTTATAGAGTCAGCTGATCTGTGGTAATTGTAGCATAAACTTTGTTTCTCCACTAACCACACCTAAAAGAAAAAAATCTCAGAAATGTTCTTCAGTGACAAGAAGTTGCCAGCCATGCTTTAAAAAACCTGCACAACTTATATAATGCAACTATATTTTAGTGTTTATTTTGTAGCATAAGGTAAAGAAGAATGAAATTTAGACAATGCAGCATTGGTGAGTTGGATGATAGCAGAGCTGAGGATACAGCAGACCTGTTTAGTTTCCTGTACTACTCAGAATCCACCTGTGAACTGAGGCAAGTCCAAAAGGTTTATCTCCACAAGAAACGCACTAGTTACTGCAGTGTCTAACTGAAGTGCCGTAATGCTTAGTACTGTCACTAGCCTGAGAACTGCACCCTGATTTTCATAGCTGTATACCATAGCTGTGTAAAAATGTTAACTAATCTAGAGCAACTTCAACGTAAGAATTTGCACAGACGTGGCTTCCAAATATCCAGTAGTTTAGAGCTTAAGTTACTCTTGTGACAGATGGAAAGCCTGGATCCCCTGCTCTGTATTAACTGGCAAATCACATTTGAAAATGCATGTCTCTCATGAGGAACAGCTGAAAGATCTGGGGCTGTGTAGCCTGGAGAAGGCTGAGAGGAGACCTTATTGCTCTCTACAACTACGTGAAAGGAGGTTGTAGTGAGACAGGGGTTGGTCTCTTCTCCCAAGTAACAAGTGATATAACAAGGGGCAAAGGCCTTAAGCTGCACCAGGGGAGGTTCAGGCTGGATATTAGGAAGAATTTCTTTACTGAAAGGGTTGTCAGGCATTGGAACAGTCTGCCCAGGGAGGTGGTGGAGTCACCATCCCTGGAGGTGTTTAAGAGACAGGTAGATGTTGTACTTAGGGACATGGTTTAGTGGTGTTGATAGAGCTAGGACAAAGGTTGGACTCAGTGATCTTGAAGGTCTCTTCCAACTGAAACTGTTCTATGATTCTATGTACCTCCAAAACCAAAAGCTTAAAATATGCAACTTAAAATGCTATGTTTCCATTGCCAGCAGAATAGGCAGATTGTAACCGACATACTTATTTACAGTATCTGGGTAACATTTAGGGATTCAATTAGGTGAATGAGTGCTTTGGCACCACATGGAAGTGGGCGTATGTTCCCTGATGTCAGAAACACAGGTATGATGGCAATTCAAATGCCTTTGAAAGTAGATAGTGGCTGAATTCTCTGAGTACTGAACTCCTGGTTTTGCTGTTACACTACATCTATGAAAGACTGTAGACATTACAGCCCTCCAGGTTACTTGTAGCAGCAGTTTTTAGGTATCTATCTAGCACATGCAATGGAATTTGCTGTCCTTTATTTTAATAATTATACTTTCTATCCAATGAATAAGCTAAGGCTGCTCATAATTTGGTTTGCAAAAGCTTGCACATGGAGCTGGAACCACCTAAACTGACTGTAAAGGAATGCTGAAGACAGGTTTCTGTTAAAGACTGCTAACAAAGGGCAATTTCAGTATGGTGCATGAGATGTTGGATAAATTACGAAGACAGTCTTTGAGGCAGAGACTACCCAGGGCTTTACCACAATAATAGTGGATGCTGTTAACTGGGGGCTCTTTCTCAACTCAGTCTTTTGTGGTGTCTGGGATCATAACTGAATGTTGGGTTTCTTCACTTGTCCACCAGAGCTGATGTAGCAAGTTTAAAAAATGGCATAGTCTTAGTAGTTCTTTTGTTCTGATTCTCCTGCTTTAAGGATGATCATTCTTTTATCTAAAGGATGGACATTCTGTGGATTAATAACAATTATGGGTTAAAATCTTTCTGTAAATAGACACCAAGGCACTATATGATAGCAGCTTCTACCTGGGTAATAATATCATCAAGTATATACAAAAAAGCATCAAAAGAATTAAAAAACCCCATGAGGTTTAAACAACAGACTATTAAATACAAATCCTGCTACCCAGAGGTGTGCAAACAATTTATTTGCATTCAGTGCAATGCTGTACAGGGGAACAGGTCTGCAGTTGTGTTTCTCTACAAGATCAATAAATGGTTTGTCAACTCTGGTGAGCATTTATTTTGTATCCAAGGTCCTAATGTAAAAAATATAGAGTAGTTTTTCTCTCGCCGTTTGTGATGGAGTCCCACTCAGACAGGATCAGAAATATCAGTCAACAGCTGCAGACAGAAATGAAATAGTCCTCTTAATTGAATCCCGTGGGCTGCAAAAAAGGATTTTTTTTGCCCCCCGCCCAAACAGTTCCTTGTGTCAGACAATCTGGAGCCACGTATTTTTTTCTTTTTACTAGTCCAGCTGGCAAAGCAAATTGCCTTGTTGAATTAGCATGTTCTAAAATATAAAAGGGTTTAAATGAATATGAGGATACAGGCAGTACAACAAACTATTGCTATTATAAAATATACTAACATATTTCTCTGTTGTATAGTGAACAGATTTGAGACACAGGGAGGTGTAAATGACTCCTGGAGGTTTTTGTATTAGTTATTTTTATATGAATTTCAGTAATAAGCAAATCAGCATATATGTTGCCAAATTAAAATAGAAAGCTATTAGCAAATTAACACCTTTTACACAGAACTTATACAAATACCACATTTTTCGTATCTTGTGTTATTGCAAGAACAAAATTGCATAGACATTTGCTGGCACTTTCTGAATTCCCCAAATAATGCTTTGTCTTAGCAAATACTTCAAGTAGTTCCCTCAATTTAGTTTCACCCACTAATGCTGTAAGTGGTTATGTGTAGTGAGAGAAAAAAACCCACAAAGCTCAAAAATATTAACAATGACATAATCATCTCACTGACTAATAGTTCAGCAAGGAAATATATTCCTTTTTTTTTAATGCTCTCTGTAAGGCTGTTTTCAAAGTGTTACTGATAGAACATATAATTTGATTCAAGTCATTCTGAAGTTGAAATGTCATTTGTGCTCTTCTTCCCCATTCACCCTGTAGCCCAGAATTGTAGATACACATTTGTTTCCTAAACTGAAGCACTTTGTTTCTAAAATTCTGAAAATTCTGCTTTCGGTAATGCTCTTCAGTAGTAACATAAAACTCATACTAGCAAGGGGGTGTACAGCCTTTTCTGGCGCCTCACTGACAGACACGGCTGTATTCTTGGCAAGTGGAGCTCACGCCGGCCACTGACAAGTAGAGCTTTCCATCTGGACACACGCAGATTTCGTAAAGCCCCTGAGAAATACCAGATCCACCCCTTGTACCCTCAGGCAATTTGGGCAGTCGCACAGTTTCAGCATCGAGCAAAAGCTGCATGGGAGAAAGCAGGACAAATGGGCTTGTTAGAGATAACAATGCAATAGCATGCTGTAAAACAACCTGACTTTGTCTAAGCAGTGGTTTAAAAATAGACTTCTACCCAGACTTGTTATATACAAAGCTGCTCCGAGGCCTGCGCTCTTGGCAGACACTGGGACACGGGAGAGGCATAAGCTTTTGCCCATCCTCTTCCTTAGCAGAGACTTCCTGAAGTTCCACAAGGCCAAGTGCAAGGTTCTGCACCTGCGTGAGGGCAATCCCAAGCACAGATACAGGCTGGGTGATGAAGGGATCGAGAGCAGCCCTGCGGAGAAGGACTTGGGGGTGCTGGTGGATGAAAGACTGAGTATGAGCTGGCAATGTGCGCTCACAGCCCAGAGAAGTGTGGCCAGCAGGTTGAGGGAGGTGATTCTCCCCTCTGCTCTGCTCTGGTGAGACCCCACCTGCAGTGCTGCGTCCAGCTCTGGGGCTAACAGTGTAAGAAAGACATGGACCTGTTGGAACGGGTCCAGAGCAGGGCCAGGAAGATGATCAGGGGGTTGGAGCACCTCCCCTGTGAGGACAGGCTCAGAGAGTTGGGGTTGGAGAAGAGAAGGCTACAGGGAGACCTTATAGCCTTCCAGTACTTAAAGGGGGCCTCCAGGAAAGGTGGGGAGGGACTCTTGATCAGGGAGGGTAGTGATAGGACAAGGGGTAATGGTTTCCAACTGAAAGAGGGGAGATTTAGATTAGATGTTAGGAAGAAGTTCTTTCCTGTGAGGGTGGTGAGACACTGGAATAGGTTTCCCAGAAGGGCTGTGGCTGCCCCCTCCCTGGCCGTGTTTAAGGCCAGGGTGGAGTGGGCTTTGAGC